TAGACTTGTGAATATGTAAGATAGATTCGGCCAATGAAAAAACTTCTAGCACGACACAGTGAACCAACATTTCTAGCAGAAGATCTAGCAACTGAATCGATATAATCTTTCCACTTCATGTCAACGGAAAACCTTAACCCGGGAAGGCGCAACGAGTCACCCTCCTGGAGGATACCATTAGCCATGTTCATGGAAAGCAGAAGTATGATTAATGTAGAGCTGTTTTCTTATGGAGGCATTAAAATTAACAAGCCCTTCATTGTTCCAACAGAACGTAGGCTATTTTCTTTTTAGATCAGCGGCCAACTTCACCTCATCGAACCGATCTGACTTATTTTGAAAACAGGAGTAAATAGCTGTGTCATTAGTGTGACGTCGTCTCCCTGTCGCAGCGCCGACTGTGACGTTCTATCCTGATCTACCACGGCGCCAGTTGTGACGTCCCTAAACAGCACCAATTGTGACGTCTTCGCTGCGGCGTCAGCTGTTCGCTCCTCGCTGCTCCGTCCGGGTGTCGCTGCTCCAAACGTGACGTTCTAACCCTTTGGTGATTCGGGTAGGAATCTGGTTAGATTGATACCAGCCTCGCCGTTCCCAACCTGCTTCCAACGCCTGGTTACCAGGGTAACTGCACTGATCTCCAGTCTGCCTACCCACGTTGTGAATTGATCTTAGACAGACGAGATCAAACAGGGGTTGGGGCCGTAATGCAAGCTGAGTTCAACGTGGGTGATAACACACAAATATGTATAAAAGAAAATAAAATGAAAACTCACAAAGTTCAAGGTATCAAAGAAAAAGGTAACAAACCTTTTATGTCTAGTTGTTCGGTACATAGGACTGTGTCTACCTCCCGACCCGTTCTGTGGATTGTGGCACGACGCTTTCGCTAGGCAAATTTTAACGCTTCAAGTTGTCTGCTCTCTAAGAAATTTGTGTTTCGGTGTGTCTTTGGACGAAAGTCGAAAAACTTATTTCTGTGGTCTGGTTCTAAGTCGCTCTTCAAACTACTTGTTCTTGGTTGAAGAAGAGTCCAAAATTTTGCGTGAATTTGGTCAGCTATCTTGAGGCGGTTTCAACACTGGGCACTCTTCTCTCTGCCGTCCGGGGCTGAATTGACTGCTTCTCGCCAGAGTCTGAACTACTGGGCACTCATCTCTACCGCCAGGGCCGAACGAACTTCTTCTCGCCAGCTTGGGCCGAACGAACTCTGCACTCAGGGCCAAACGAACTGGCCTCTTCTGCCCGCTAGGGGCGAACGAACCCTTCCCTCCGCCGTCCGGGGCTGAACTGATTTCTGTCTGGTGGGGCTTCGTTTTTATTGACGCCGTCAAAACTGGGGTGGGTCTGTCGGCGCCAGGGGTTCTTCGATAATTCTAAATACGTATCCACCCTTCTTATTTCTGGTTAGGGATTTTCCACTCTTTTCCATTTTTGGTAACTCTTTTCTCACTCCCACTCTCTCACCATGCTTCTGAGGGGCGTGAACTGCCCTCCCCACTTCTTCGTATCGGCTTCTCATACTTACACTCTGGATAGGGGCGTCGACTGATTTTCTTCGTGCGTCACGTGACCACTCTCGGACAATGAGGTCCTGGTCGGGTATCTTTCCTCCTCCTTCGTGCGTCATGTGATCCACTTGGCCAATGACGTCTTAGTCGGGCGTGAACAACCCGTGGCTTTGTTTTGGAAAAGAAATACCTTGCTTAACTAAAAAAAAATAATTAAATCGCCGTTATCATGAGCGGTTGATGTGACAACTCTCGGTTTCAACACGTGGCGTTTGTCAAGCAGTTTATCGCCAATTCACTGGACAGCTGGATTATCTGACATGGTGTAAGAAAGGAATTTTCTCCAAGTTTCCAGCCAATTTGGCGTCTCCAAAGCAGAAATAAAAATAAACCTGTTTCCTACGGCTCATGTGTTGATAACAAAATTTTTATTATTGCAGGGCAAAGACTGCAAGCTACATCTGCGTTTTGTCCATTATCAAAATCTAACGTTTTCAAAATGGATTTCTTAATTGGTAACCTATATTGATAACACAATTCCATTTTTCGCGGATAAGCGGAAATCGGTCAACGCTTGTTCGTAGGTGACCTAGATATTTTCGACATTTGATACCTATCAACAATAACCCTTTTCTTATTCCCGTCTCTTAAGCAGTGTGTGTGTGTGTTCGCCTATGATCCGTCTCGTATTACTTTTTCTTTCTTTCTTCTTCGTTTTCTCTTTCTTTCTTCCAAATCGCCTGAATGCATGGCGGTTCAATCCTCTCGCAAAAAAAAAGAAAGAATTATTCTTAAAACCTAAAATACATTTCGGCCTTAAATAATCCTCAAATGGTTGATAAACCGTAAAAAAGCAAATCATATATCTATAAATATTTCTTTCAAATCGTCAGGATGCATGGTGCCACATCAGCAAATATATTGGATTGAGAAGTAATGACCTCAGGATGGTCGTTGATGATCAATGTAGGTCCAAGCCCTGGGGATGCCTTCAGTAATGCAAAAAGATCAAGAAGAGTGGCCGTTCAAGATGACATTCATTTCGCAATTTAATAAGAAAATTCGTTCAGAAATACCATAACCTTTTGACTTGTGAAGAAGACCAGCATGCCAAAGCCTCCGGGATTCCTCATTCTTACCTAAAGTACGATAGACTGTTTCGGCAATAATCGTTAATAGATCAGAAATTCTAGAGAAGCGTAAGCAATATTGTTTATCTGAAAGAAAACCCTGCGAAGAGCTTAGACAAGTTGATTGGAGCCTCTAGTACTTTATTAAAATAAAAAAAGAGTTAGAAGTCTAATAGCCCGATAGTTAGAAGGATCATATGGCTTCGCCTGGGTTCATTAAGATATGAATTACAAAAGATGATTTCTAACAAGAAAGAAAGCATGAGGCAGCAAGTCACTTACTGTAGAGTTTAGAGAACATACGTCAGTTCAGGAGCACATGTCTTAAGAACTATTGCAGGGACTATCATTAAGTTCGCATGCTTTGAGGCGATTCTCTAAGAGGGCCATCCCTCCCAGGCATTACCTCTCCTTCGAGAGTGGCCTGGGCTCATTATTCGGTCCCTGAGACGTCTCCGGAAAGAGGAAGTGCAGAGAGGGCTGGAGCAGTTTTTCCGCGATATTGCAAGTAACCCCACTTTAAACTGACTTTGTGTCACATTCTGTTGCGACGCGGGCACATTGATAAATATCTAGCATTCAAACTGTTCTCAAATATATACATATAGTCTGTCGCGCGCACACGTACATACAGTGAAACAGCATATGTCTAATACTACCTTTATGCATATATATATATATATATATATATATATATATATATATATATATAAGAAATGGACAAAGTCCGACAATTTATTTATTAAAGACATTTTTATGTTTAACGTTCTTTTTTATAGATACAAGTATTTAAGTAAATGCTCTGTTTATAATTGTCCATTTCTTAATATATGACGTCATTTGTTTACATTCGATACGCCAGAGCAGTTATGAATGTACGAGATTCATGGAAGATTGAAGTTTATAAGCAGTAAATTCGACCTTGTCCACCGAACGCTCCTTTGTGGCCGATCGGATAATGCACGTCAGCGTAAATGACGGTTCCGTATAGGATGCAGGTTCGAATCCTGTCAAAGGGCGAATATTTTCTATGAAAATTTCTCGGACATTCAGGCCGGTAAATGTTATTTAATACTGTTTATTATAAACAGAGCATTTACTTAAATACTTGTATCTATAAAAAAGAACGTTAAACATAAAATGTCTTTAATATATATATATATATATATATTTCGGAATTAAAACGACAGACAAGGTATGGTTGAGTTTTTATTTAATTTTTTTGTCCCGAATATGAGCTTTCTTTTTTCTGAACAAAGGGTGTGTAAGAACTGTACGAATGTTTTATATTTCCGAGCGCTTTCGGCTATATAAAAACATTTGAATAGTTCTTACACAACCTGTGTCCAGAAAAGAAAGCTTTGTTCGACACAAGAAAATTAAAGAAAAAGCTTAACAGTAGTATCTTGTCTGTCGTTTTAATGAAACATGCATAAAGGAAAGATTGCTGCCGAAATATATAATATATATATATATATATATATATATATATATATATATATATATATATATATATATGTGTGTGTGTGTGTGTGTGTGTGTGTGTACAGAGCTCAGATTTACGGACATTTTAAAATACAAGATTCATCAAAGGTACAGAAGTTTCGAATAAATTTTGAATTTAAAAATAGATAAAGTCTGTACGTGTGTGGATGGAAAAAACAATTTAATCTTTTTCCTTTTTTTTTATTGACACCTTAGTCGACATTAAAGTCAATTTGAAATTCCTGATGAAGTTAATCTCGCTGATTCTCTGTGATTCTCGCAAATTCACGTGTCATTAGTGTCTACTCGGCAACATCTGATGCCCGAGTATAAAAGGCGTCTCATAATCGATTCCACGTTGAATGAGTGCCAATAAGTAACATTATTGATATATCTGGACAAATGGCGTGGAGTGAAAATGTTACATGATCGGAAGAATGGGAAAATAAAGATAAAGATAAAACGAGGAGGGGAAAAAGACAGAAATGGAAGTGAAAGGAGAGAAAAAAAAAGAGAAAAAATATTGACAAAATAAAAAAAAGAGAATGAAATAAAGTAGAAAACGTGAAAGAAAGAAAGAAAGAAAGAAAGAAAGAAAGAAAGAACATAAAAAAGGATATAAATAAAAAAGAGAAAATGGAAAAGAAAAATAGAAAGAAAGAAGAAGAAGAAGAAGAAGAAGAAGAAGAAGAAGAAGAAGAAGAAGAAGAAGAAACAGAGTAGACGAAGAAGAAAAAGAAGAATGCTGGTAGAAAAAAAGATGATGAAGAAGTACAGAAATATGAAGAAAACAAAGAAGAAGAAAAGGAAAAACAAAGAAAGGTGGCGCAAAACAAAAAAAGAAAAAAAAAAAACAGTAAGGGTAGAAAATCATAGAGAAAAGATGAAGAAGTTTTCTCGATTGAACCCTACTCACCTCTCCTCCAAAACAGTTCATGGCGCCATCTTTTCCCGCTCTTTCTTTCTTTATCCGTCTTTGTCGATTGATGTTGGTTATTGCGTCTATTATTTTCCTTCCGTTCTATACTTCCGGTTTCTATTCTGAAAATCAAGCCGGCCGTAAAATACCGTAATTGAAGATTCTGGCTGGTATCCCTTGGTGTTTAGTGCATCAGGAACAATTTGCACATTGTCTCTCGATGGTTATGTTATATAAATTCATTTTATATACACTCACACATGCATGTATATTTGAAACCAAGGCATATATATATTTATATATATATATAGATTTCTGAAGAAAGATTGAAGCCAATCTGAAATATCAAATATATATACAAATAGATAAATACTTTCATAAAAAAACATTATTATTTTTTTAATTTGCAACTTTATCTATCTATCTATCTATCTATCTATCTATCTATCTATCTATCTATCTATCTATCTCTCTCTCTATATATATATACATATATGAAGAAAAATATACGGAAAAAAACAAACAAAAATCCTTATATGCAATTATGCTGTTTTAATGTTAATATAATGTCAACGTCGGACGTTTCGGTCTAATAAACAATCTTCAGGACATATTCATAAAATATAATTAACATTATCAATTCAACACGGTGAATACTAGACCTGGCTTCTTTAGTATTTCCCCTTTTCTAGCGAGATTAATGCTCGACAAGCGTACATATGAATTTTAGATCAAAATAGAATTCTTTTCATTTTTCATTTTTAATTCAAAATACTTAAATTTTAGGAATACGTTTTAACAGCGTCACCCACGTGATGACAACGTGACCATGTTTTAAACGGAGCGCTGATCTTATAAAACTTTCAGTTATCTGTTTGGATAAGTCTTGTTCTTATGTACATCGTCTTTGTTATGTTGTATTGATAATGTTATAATTTATGAATATGTCCTGAAGATGGTTTATTAGACCGAAACGTCCGACGTTGACATATTAACATTAAAACAGCATAATTGTATATAAGGAGTTTTGTTTGTTTTTTCCGTATATATTTTTCTTCATACTGTCGGATCTATATCCATATATTTGCTTACATATATATATATATATATATATATATATATATATATATATATATATGTATGTGTGTGTGTGTGTGTGTGTGTGTATGGTTGTTGACTGGCTAACGATAAATGCGAGCTCAGTAAAAAGGAAAAAAATAATTTTTGCACTTAAGAAAAGGGGCCTGTGTAAATTTTCAAGAGTTAGGAATCGTTCTTTTTATAGTTGACGAATCTTCCTCGCCTGCGTACAACAAATCTTCATTGACATCTGAAATTTATTCTTGCAGATTTAACTTGTATGCTCCTGGGGCTAGTTTGCTACGAGGCCTTCATTTTCCTTGGCTTGCGCACATTTCGTTTAAAGTTTGTAATTTCTTGATTTCAAACGAAAACTTGGAACCTTTCCAACATATTTTAAGGAACTTTTTGCTTTACAAAATTATAGTTTAGCATTGCTTCAGAAAAATCTAAGTGTCAGTTTAAAGTGACACCAGAAGATTATGAGTCAAATTTGTTTGTTTCGTGCTTTCTTTTCCTTTCTATCTTTTATTGCCTATTCCCCTTTTCTTTCTTTTGTTCTTTTCCCTCCTTAATATCTTTCTTTCTTTCTTTCTTTCTTTCTTTCTTTCTTTCTTTTCCATCCTTTATATCTTTTAATCCTTCTTCCCTCTTTCTTTCTTTCTTTTTCTTTTCTTTCTTTTATTTTCTCTCCTTCATATTTTAACCCATCTCTCTTTATTCCTTTCTTTTTCTTTCTTTTCTCTCCTTTATATCTTTTATTCCCCATTTCTTTCTCTCTTTCTTTCGTTCTTTTCCCTCCTTTATATCTCTTATTCTTTTTTCTTCTGTTCTTTCCCTCTATATCTTTCTTTCTTTCTTTCTTTCTTTCTTTCTTTCTTTCTTTCTTTCTTTTGCCTCCTTTATATCCTTTATTCCTTCTTTTCCCTCCTTTCTTTCTTTTAGTCTTTTCCTTCTTTCTTTCTTTCTTTCTTTCTTTCTTTCTTTCTTTTTTTTCCTCCTTTATATTTTATTTTTATTCTTTTTTCCTTTTTCTTTCTTTTAGTCTTTTCCCTTCTTTCTTTCTTTCTTTCTTTCTTTCTTTCTTTCTTTCTACCTCTTGCGTTAGTTTAAACTGTCGCCTGCATTTTCTCTATATTTTGACCAATTTGCGCAATCTTCGTATTTTCTTGATTTCATCAGAAATCTTGGAAAATATTCCATCATATTTCAGTGAAATTTTCACTTCACCAAATTATAGTTTAGACATATAGAAAAAAAGAACGCATTAACTTGAACATACGCCGTCTTTTTCATATATTGCGAATAGTTAGCTTAAAGTTCGTATTTTCTTGATTTCAAATGAAAACTTGGAAAGTTTGCAATATTTTTCAGTGAAATTTTAACTTTTTTAAATTATAGGTCATTATTATAACAAAATATAGTTATGACATACACACACACACACACACATACATATATATATATATATATATATATATATATATATATATATATAAAGTAACATTAGCAGAATACAGGGCATTAAGTCACAACTCTTTCTTTCTTAACCCATATCATATTAGTGTCAGTCTAAACAGACACTTTTTCTTCATACCAATTTGTATGTTCGTATTTTCTTGATTTCTTGTAAAAACTTGGAAAATGTTTCTACCATATTTTAGCGAAATTTTCACTTATCAAAATTATACTTCAGATATACAGAAAAAAGTGTACGTTTAAACCAGTGATTCTGAACTGCAGTGCTGTGCCGTGGCACACTAGTGTGCCGCTCGATCCTCTTAAGTGTGCCGTGAAATATTGTCAAGGCATATCTGATATATAAAGTACAGTGTATGTGTGTGTGAGTTTGTACGTGTGTGTGTCCAAGCAACTCTTCCGCACCCACTGGTCCGAATTCAATAACTCAATCTTTATTCAAAACCCGTAGAAACGCAGGGAACGATTTTCATAGAGCTCAGATTCAGGGTTGCCAGATTATGCGAGGTTAAATAATATATATTAATATATTATACTAGCCGTTATCGCTGTTTTCATGGTTGAAGGGGAGTAATTCTTATTTTCTTTTTGTATCCAAATTTGCAGTGCACGTTTTATTATAAATAGCTTAAAAGCCAGCCTATCGGCCGGCATTCAAGCGAGCTCTTGTGGAGGACTCTTGGTTTGGCTACCATCATAATAGTTAAGGGGGAGTAGATACGAAACTAATCTCTGCATTTAAGTATCGAGTTTATGTTTAAGTTTACCTTTTAGAAATTCAACGATAATTCTTCTGCTGCCACTTAATTTAAAGACGATTTGATGTACGTAGGTCCTTATTTTCCGTACAAACAATTATTTTTATTTCATGGGTGACAGAAGAGGGAACAATTTATAAGATCAAAATTAATATAGCGTAAAGATGGGAAAGTAGAAATTAGAATTAGTTATACATTCAACATTTGAAGAGAAACATAATAGCTTATTAAGTAAAACGTATATTAAGGAATCTATATGAATAAATGCGAAATTGGGGCTCAATTCTTCCACGAATTCTGAGATTAAAAAGCCCCAGCACTACTTTATAATAATTTGTATTTACTCACCCCACTCCACACTTACGAGGTCAAGTTGTAACACAAGGTCGGTTTAATGTGGGGAGCCCGAGCGCGTACACCCGGGCTAGGAATAAAAATTGCCCGCAGCCCCCACAGCCGTTGGTTGCGATGGCCTCGTTGCGAGCACCGATACTCTCTTGTGCAATGAGAGGGCGCGGCCTTGGGCACCTGTTCCCCAGGGCCGTCAGCTCTCAGTATAATTTTCCTCAGTAGAGCACTCTGCGCAAAGACAGAGGCGCAACTGAGAGATGATAAATAATGTGTTACAAACAACTCGACAGTGCAATTTACACACTTACAAGTTGGCCTTTCCCTAACTATAACAAGCTAGTTTATGTACATTTAACAATTTTGTTTCAAAGATTTTAAATAGTGAATATATCCTATTTTTGGGAGCGATACCGAGCGGAAGAAGCATGTTAGTTTTTTTTTTATAGATATATATATTATAAAACCATAAAAATGTCTTAAAATAATTGTCGGACTTTGTCCATTTCATAAAATGTGACGTCATTTGTTTACATTTGGATACGCAACGAACAGATATGAATGTACGTGAGAGATTCATAGACTTAAATATTTGTATCTATAAAAAAAGAATGTATAAACATAAAAATGACTTAAAATAATTGTCGGACTTTGTCCATTTCATAATATGTTATATATATATATATATATATATATATATATATATATATATATATATATATATATATATATATATATATATATATATATATGAATGTACGTGAGATTCATATACATATACATATGAATGTACGTGAGAGATCCATGGAAGATTGTAGTTTAAAAACAATAAAATTGACCTTGCTAACCGAACGTTCCTCTGTGGCGAAATCCGTAAAAGCACGTCAGGCTAAATGACGGTTCCGTGTAGGATACAGGTTCGATTCCTGTCGGAGGACGCATATTTTCTATGACAATTTCTCGGCCATTCAGGCCGGTAAATGTTGTTAATACTGTTTATTATAAACAGAGCATTTACTTAAATATTTGTATCTACAAAAAAAGAATGTATAAACATAAAAATGTCTTAAAATAATTGTCGGATTTGTCCATTTCATAATATGTTAGTTTATATATATATATATATATATGTGTGTGTGTGTGTGTGATGTGTAAGTAGTAATGGTATAGGGTTAGTATTTGAACAAATGATTATTTCTTTTTAATCCTTCATAAGCTAAAAAGGCTTTGTCGGTTTCATTGCAATTTTCTACTTCTTATTTATGTGATTTAGGCTTCTTAATCCTAAAT